AGGGGTATCTAGGATGCCAGGGATGTCCTAGGACCTTGCTGCTCCACTCCATTTGGAAGCCTGATGCCTTCAAGTTTCCAAATTTTTGTTGCTTCAGTACGGACAAAGGCCAGCGAGGTCTTTTAAATCCCAGAACACCCAAACTTCCCAGAGCCCAGTGGGCCAGGCTTAGCGCTAAGTGCTTTGCCCCCTGAGATGCCCTCTTTTGACGCAATGTGGCACTGAAGCCTTGGCCAATGTGGGCCTTGGCCATTGTGGATGGCATACCGATGCAGCAGAAACAGCGAGTCCTAAGATCATAGCATCATGTCTGTTTCTTAGGAACGAGTTCTGCTCCAGGAGAATGTTTGTCATTTGGATTCATTTGTAATCTCACCAAGTGACTCTTATACAGTGAACCCATATAGAGTTATCCCTGTAGGCTGGGGAGTGGCCGAACAGAACTAGGTATCCTAACTCAGTGTCTGGCAAAGACAGTAAGGGAGATGCCAGCGGGGGAGGAAGAGTAGTGTGGTCATTGTGCATGAGGGACCCCAGCAGGGGCCTGAAAGGAGGGGTAAGGTGGGGGGCACCTAACTGTTCCCAATTCCTCTCAGGGGCCTGCTGCAGCCAGAGACAAGAGGAGGTTGCCTGGCTCTATGTCCCTGAGACAGGTGCTGGCGATGTGGAAGTTCTGCAGCTCCACCCACCTTGCCACTGTACCTCTGGCTGACTGAACAGGGGACAGACAGGCATAGCTGACATCTTTCTTACGCTTGTCTACTTGTAGCTCCTGCAAAACAGAACATCTTACGCTCCGTTAAGGCCCTAAAGACAGAGGGCCTTCTGCTGGTGAGAATGCACATGTTAGGTACATAGCTGCCTTTGCTCTCTCACTGACTCTACAGCAGATGTCAGAGTTCCGAGGCACTCCAGCTTTTCAGCCCATGCTCAAGGTCTGCCTGTGCTTCCCCCTTGCCCACAGTCCAGTCAGGAAAAAGGGAAGGAAAAGAAAAACTCAGAAACCTGAAGATTGTTTGGAATTTATTCTCTTAAATAAGAATGTAACATTTGTCAAAAGAAAAATTTAAAAGCACAACACCTTGGTTTCACAGTAATGGCAAAAACAAAGTTACACAATTAAATAAAAACTCACAAAGAAACACACCAAAAACTCACAACAGCACAGGTTAAAAACAAGGGCGAAAATAAAGGTGTTAGGGAAGGTCAGAGTGGACAGGTGACCCATTTCTTGGTACAGCTCATCCTCCCTTGCTCTGGCTTCTTTGTACTGGTGCCCTGGGAATCTGCTTGCCTACCCCCACCGCAAGTGAATGGCTGGGGCATGGGGAGGAAGTGAACCCCTTCATTCACAGCCAGACCCCGCAGGGTATGCTGGGGGTTCCTTCTGGGAAGGCCTAAGAAGGTAACGTCCAAAGACAGCAGACACCAAATGACAGCAGACAGCTCCAATCAGTAACTCAGCAGGGGCAGCGTACAAGCCTGGGAACAAACCTGAGAGAAGGCGGGCATCTGGCCCTCTGCTGACCCTGCCAGCAACAAACTCCTGCCCTCCCAGTTTGCTCTTGAATCAATTATTGGACAACATGGGACTGTACTGCTCTGAGATATCCACTCCCCAAAAGCCTCCACCTCCTCATGTGAACTGTTCTCAGGCTGCTATGTTCCCTCAAATTCCTGAGCCAGCCCAAAGGCTAAGTTCCCAGTGTCAAAGCGCCCCCTGTTTCTAAAAGGACGGAACGTGAAATTTTAGTAACAGTTTTATCATTATTATTTAAGATATAATATATAAATATCTATCTACATCTGTGAAATAAACCCTATATACATATACATAACGTTTACACATTACCATTGACTCAACTCTGACTGTGTGGGAAGGTAGGCAGATTGCAGAATTCTCTCTGCTTCGTTTTCCAGAAATGCCTAAGAGGGAGAAGGATTTGGGATGTAGTAAGATTTCCTAAGTTTCTTCTGTTAGGCAAGAACCCCAGGGCTGAAGGAAGTTCCTGTGCCGCTTGGCCGACTTCTAGCTGGTATGGGCAATGCCCGTGTTTTCTTGCGGCCTGTTCAAGCTCCAAACTATGGAAGCCAATGCTTATGATGTGCAAGGGGCGTCTGGGGACAGACCAGGCAACTGCCACTAGTAATTTGGCAGCTTCTTGACTTAGACCATCTTTCTTACAAGATGACAGATGATTCATATGCCCTGTGGCAGGCTGCAGATGATCATGTTTTCATGGATGACAAACTCTGAGAAAAGTTTTGTTCCTTTTCTATGGTGCCCCCTAGCCCTTCCATTCAGTTTTTGTTGTCCAAAACAGGAGATAAAAGGAAATTCCTCTAGATGGAAAAGAAAAAAAAAGAAAAAGAAAATGAGGGCTCTGTGTCCACAGGGGAAGGAATCTTACTTGGGTTTTTCTTTCTCTGCCTGCTGCTGTCCACTCCTCCTCAAGTCAGGGCAGGTACTATGAGGCCAGGGCAAGGGAATCTGTGCCAGGTCCACCAACCCACAACGGTGAGTATAAGAAACTTGAGACAAAGCAATTACAGGCTTGCAAACAGAAAGGAGGGATTTCTCTATTAAAAGCACATTACAAACACAAATACTGTAAACAATGTCCCCCATCCACTAGATTAGGCAGCAGTTACAGATTAGATTATCAGAAAAAGACAACACTTTAAACCAGGCCTACAGTGGGTTCTTTTAACTTGTGGATTATTGGTTTGGGTCTAGGAGGGTTTGTTTGGTACAAGGGGAAAGGACACAAGGGAAAACGGAAATGCCACAAGAGGGGGCACAGAGCAAGAGCATGGCAGCTTCAAATGCCACTGGTTACCAGTCCTGGCTCTGCGACTCGGTTCTAGGGAGAACCATTCAGTCACACAGGACAGTTTCACTCATCCCCAGCCTTTCTGGTCTAGTGTGCAGTGCAGGAGACATACCAGAGGTCGGGACTAATGACTGTTCCCTGTGACACAGTCTGGAGCCCTCAACCACTTGAGCTTTTCTGCTAGTTAAGTAACCAAAGCTTTGGTCTGGGATTTAAAAAAAAGAAATCTCTATCAAAGGAGAAAAGAAATCTATGTCATGGCAACTAAAGACCACCACACTCTGTCCCTTTCTACAGAGGCTGGCACATTTAGTTCCCAGAGAATATACCAGGGCTGAGCTGCAATTTCCAAAACTCTGTGTCCCCACAGCAGACAAAGAATCCTGTCATCCCTGAGTTCACCTTGCAGTAGGGGAAAGGGCCCACCTGGCTCACCTCATGGGCTCGCCTGAGGTACCTTTGGGACACTACACGGTGGAACTGTAATGGGCAAGTCAGGTTCTAGCTCAGAATCAAGAACCACAGGGAAGGAAGTGTCCTCAGGGTGCTGGCTCCTTCTTGTTAGGATTTTGTAGTCACACTGCCAACACTCACCTTCTCTCTCTCTCTGTTTGTAGAACATTCTTTTCCTTCTCTGTGGAACCCTAAATCCTTTAGAACCCCTAAGAACCTGAAATCCATTATGCGCCTTCAGTCAGAAAGGCAATGTGAGCTTGAGAGGAAAGCAAGCAAACTCAGTTTTTTCACAAAAGAACTGAATTTCACTGCATTTTTCTCTTTTTAAGCTACTCTGTGTACTTCTAATCAAAGAAAAAGATTCCTTGGAAAACCCATCTGTGCTGCAGTGAGGCCTGGACCAACAGTGTAGTGCTCTCACCTGATCAAACACACATTCCATAGTGAAAAGCCAAAGCTGTGTCTATTCCCTGCAATTCTCTCTGACAGCAATGACCCCCAACCATGTTGTGAGAATGTCGACTGCAGAGGGTGGTCAGCACCTCCTGAGAAAGACCATAAAGGGCCTGCAGATTGTGCCTGTCACTCATGGTTTAAGCATGGCTGTCAACTGAGGCCCACCTTCAGGGTACTCAACAAACATCCTCAGTGTGCAACCAGGACACATGTATAGGAGCAGAAGCTGAGCTTACCCTGCATGGCCAGGTCTCAGGCTCTGGGGCTCTGCTGCCGGGAAGCCCAAGACAATAATCCTTGCCTTTTCCATCATGGAAATTCTACTACCAACTTTTCCCCCATAGCTTCTGGCAATGGCTGATAATTTTTATATATGTTTACAAATGGCTGTTTCAGATATACTTGCTATGAACAAAAGGAAACATGTGAGAAATAGAAATGAGGCCTTGCCAACTTCCTCTCAGCTACATAGCAACCCTGAGGTGTGGATAACCTGGGGCTGTACTCAGCCACAACTGTGAACTCACTTCACAGGCTAGTTTACAAAGAGCCACAAGGGGCAATTTAAAGAAAAGAAAAGAAAAGAAAACACAACAACACTGTTGTCCTCCAGAGGCTTCAAGCTCCTGCACCATCCTAGGCCTGCCCTGTGTGTTTTGGGGGCAGAATGTTGCCACATGAAGTGGGAATGACATTGGGACAGAGCATATCTTTTGGCTTATTCAGATACCTAGCTAGGGAACAGGATACAAAGACTTCAAGTTCTGCTGAACACAAATTCAGACCACAACTTTTGTGCTCTGCCACAGAAATCCTAAACAGGAGCCATTTGGAGGTCTGGCTTCTCATCGGGGTCAGTGACCACGAAAGCTTTCTCTGCATTCTTGTTTAACAATAAGATCTGCACCAAGCGCCCAATGTGTCTGAGAGAGGTGGGAAGGAGTTCCAGTGACCGTACCCTGATCCATTTTATCTGCACTCAGGTGACCCGCTTACCAGAAGGCCCCCCTCACTGGCTCACAGCCTGCCAGTGAAACTCCCCTCCAATCTGCACCAGCACCTCAGACAGGCCATAGAGAAAGGGGACCCCGAAAGCAAGCAGCTGGCACATGAAAAAGGAGTCCAAAGGGTTCTGAACCACTTGATGCCCAATTGACGAAATGTTGCTTTGGAAGTGCTGGCTCATCCCCTTGGCCTTGTCACAGAGGCCGAGAGAGTGACGCACCACCCATCCAAACAAGGAAGTGAGGCTACCTGAAGTTCTCTCGGCTGAGTTGGCAACGGTGCTGGCCCGTCCATTTGCATCTGCAGCAGGGCCATCCTGCAGAGGTCCTTTGGCTTCCTAGGAAAGTCCACAGAAAAAGAACAGTGACTGACCGTGCCCTTAATCCCACTGGCTAGTCTGTCTCTGTCACCCAGGGCTGTATTCCCCATACAGTCAGTCTTTCTTTAAAGAAATAGGGACACACATCCTATGGTAGTCACTAGGAGTCACCCACGTATACAGCTGGCCTTCAGTATCTGTGGGTTTGGTTCCAGGACCCCACGGAACAATCTGTGGATGCTCGAGTCTTTCTTTTCTTTTCTTTTTTTGGTACTAGGAATTGAACTGAGGGCCTTGCACTTGTTGGGCAGGTGCTGTACTGCTAAGCTATATCCCCAGCCCTTGAGTCCTCTGTACAAGATAGCACCAATTTGCAAAGAACCTATGCATATTCTCTATATACTTTAAATCATCTCTGAACACAGGAGTTATTGGCTGGTGAGATCCACAGCTATGGAACCCAGCACACAGGGGGCTGATGGTATACCTTTCCCACAGCCCCTTTGCTATCCAAGAAGCCTCTTAAAGGAACAGTGATCATCCTGCATGCTGACAAGGCTCTGTCCCTGCAGTGAAGGGATTACTTGGGTCACCTTGACAAAGAGGATTAGAAAAGCCATTCTCATTGAAAAAAAAAAAAGTAAGAAAGAAAGGTCCCAAACAAGTAACTTGCAGGATGAGGGAAATGAAGGCTGGAAGGGAGGGCAGAGTACAGTCAGCTCCTTCTCAGCAGAAAGCAGTGCTGCCTGTGGCTCCCACCTGCCCATGGATGCCTGAGGGTGGGGCTATAGAAGCAAAAGGACTCTGGCTTAGGTGCCTCTTCTACATGGCCACTCCTGAGGACAGCTCTAACCCTGTGAAAAAGGACCACGGCATTTTCCTCAGCAGCAGGGTATCCTCCTCTAACAGAAAGGCTTGTTTACAGAGGTAGCACCTTTTATACAAAGAGAACAGAATGGAGAAGCAGCATAAGCCCCCCAGTCCAGCTCCGGTGGTAGAAAGGCTGTTACCTTAGGGACACACAGCCTAAGCCTATGCTTGGAAAGCCAGTTCCTTCCCCAGACCAACCGATACTGTATCTCAGGACCTGGCAGGACCGGCAGTGCTCTAAAGGGAGGGCTGTATGCTGCTGGGCCGGCCCTGACCTGCAACCACGCCAGTGTGGCACCCTCTACTTTTCTCCCACTTACATGAAGGATGGCCATACCTTTCCAGGCAGAGAAGCCACTGCTGGCCTCTTCCTTTGTGCGTAGCCAGAGAGTCGGTAACAGTAGTGTGGTTTACAGTAGAATTTACCTACAGAAAGCAAGAAGAGGGAAAAAAGGGTGAGCAAGGTTCTGTAATACTGAACTTGACTTGCTGGTTTCAGCACACTCCTGTCTACCTCCTCCAGCCACAGGAAGCCATTACTGCACCAGCCTTTGCCAGGCCCTGCTTTCCTGTCCGGGGAGGCCAGTCTGTCCCTCTAAACTTTGATTCCAGGCCTCCTCTTCCATAAAGTAGGGGGTGGGGACGTATCCTTTCTTTTGGGTATATGAAAGCCATTAAGCCATTACCCAATCAGTGCCCAGGGCAAAGATGCAAGGCGTGCATGGCAGGGCCAGCAAACAAAGTGTCAGTGTGTGAAGAACAAAGATGTGGTCACATGAAAGCTGGGAGTAGCGATGCTGGGGAAAGCAAGAATGAATACAAGTACAGGGTGGGGGCGTGAAGGCTGCAGGGGCTGGGGTAGCACTGAGCATTAACTCTGCAAGGTCCACTTCTGCTGCTGCGCCAAGACTCCTGCCTTCTCCACCAGCCAGCCTGGGGCCCACAGCAGGTTCCAACCCTTCAGAGGTCAGGACAAGCATCAGAAGACAAAGACAAAACAAAAAAATCCTGCAGCACGCTATAGGGAGAGTGAGACAGATTAATGTTAAATAATAATTCTGTGTCCTAATGAAATACATTTGCCACTGAGGGTGTGGTTTGAAAGGCTTGGCTTTTCCACTGTCACTAGCATTGGTATTAACTCAGAGCTACGTTTTTCTGACTCTTTACTCTCACTTAAAGAAGTCAAGCTTCTGACATTAAATAATAGGCCCTATTGTACAAAGTGGAACAGGAATCATCCAATTCCATCTTCTCATTTGTAGGCAACGTTCCTTCAACAACTAAGTGTTTCCAATCTCAAAGCTGAAATCAGACAATGCACAAGGTGAAAGTAAAGGGCAGCTGCATTTTTCCAGTTCCCCTTTTCCTAGCTATCTGATCCTATCTGTTCTTCAGAGTAGCTGACTTGTTTTTCTCTTTGACCTGCTCTTTCCCATCAATGGTGAATGAATCCTTTCTGGAACTTCATAGCTTTCAAATAATATTCATATCATGTTGTATGATATGAACAGGATTTTCATCAGCTGCTTGTACTTCACCAGGACTTGGAAACATTGCTGCTGTCACTGAGAATACCTGACAGCCAAGAGACTGTCATCTTGCTCTCTTGC